GCACCTTGTGATCCAATTTCGGTACCGCCATGTACTCCGTGTCCTCAAGGCCCTCCAGGTCCACCAGGTCCTCCGGGACTGCCTGGAGATTTTGGCATCCCAGGTGGTCCAGGTGTAGATTCAACTTCAGGACCTCAGGGAATTCCAGGACCATTAGGGCCTCCTGGAACTTCTGGCCTTGAAGGCCCACAGGGGCCGCAGGGTGATATAGGGCTTTCTGCAGTAAATAAACAACCACTTCCTGGACCTCCAGGGCCAATAGGTAAGTGAACGAGTAGGATTAATATTTTGCAAAAAAGAATTATAGAAACTTTTATTACTGTACATCATCTGCATTACTGAGAAACAGTTTTCTAATGGGAAATGGATTTTTATATTTTAATTTCGCTTTTATAGGTGATCCTGGATTACCTGGAGAAGATGGGCCATTTGGGTCTGCAGGAGAAGAAGGTGTCGTCGGACCAGAAGGCTCTCCAGGTCCACCAGGTTCACCTGGACCACAAGGTGCAAATGGACGGCCAGGTTTGCCAGGACAAGCTGGTGTTTCAGGAACTGATGGTGAGAAGGGAGTTTGTCCAAAGTACTGCGCTATTGATGGTGGTGTATTCTTTGAGGATGGCAGTCGTCGCTAAACGTTTAGTCAAATTGAAATTTAAACGAGTATGTGTAAAATTACAACAGCAAATAAAAGTTAAGGATCACTCTACGAACTTAAATCTTCCGTGTATTTATTTTAATTAGTCTTGAGTGATATTTTTACAAGTATAACACACAGCTGGTGAAGTAAATCAACGTTAATCCTCTTTTTGGACCGTCTAAACGAAAACGCCAAAATCAGTATATGAACAGCACTTGTCTTTGTTCGATTAAGGCAAGTATTTAATATAGTTTGCATAATTATGCAAATTAAAGTGAAAAGTCCTTTCTGCTATAAACATTGTTGTTACTTGCAAAAAAGCACTTATGTGTAAGTGCCAAAAACCGTACAAAAAATAAATGGTGAGGTCCTGTCTTCTAAGGCAGAGGCAGAAATTTTAGGTCTTTCATTACGAAAAGTAATAGCTAAGCGGAGAAACTGCTGTTTTTGAGAAGTACTGGGTGGACTAAGATCATGAAAGACAATAGAAACGTTAAGAATAAAAACAAATTAAAATTGGAGGTTTCAAGAACGGAAATTTGAGAGTCATCGAGGTAAACAACCCTGTCAAAAAGGCCACTTCAATGCTCTGTCGGCTCCTGCTCTGTAATTTTACAATATATTCTAAAAATCAAATTCTAAACTATTTTCTCTCTTGAATCAGTAAAAGTGAATTTCAGCACAAACCTGTGACGCTGTTCTCTATATAAGAGAACTCATTAAGAAGGCTTTTTACTTATTGCGACAGGTAACTCCGCTAGATGTTATTTTTTCTATGATATGCTAGTTTCACCTTCTGACGGCGCTACTGCTCAAAAAAAGCGTTACGTTGTTATAAATGCAAAGTAAACAGTGATTGACGATTTAGTTTGCCTAAAAGCAAGTTCAGATTAAAAGACGGAAAAATATTGCGGACAAAAGAATGTTTGGTCTTCGCAGCTATTAATAAAACTGATTGGCTGCGACTTTAACAGAACAAGTACCTGAAAAGTACCCTGTGTAGAATGAAGAGGACAAAGAATTTAAGGAAAGGATTTATACAGAAATAACTAAAGATAAGGCGAAATCCATAGACAAATAATGAACGAATGTAACTTGACAAAAAGGAAATAACTGACAAGTAAGATCAAGAATGGGTTTCACTGAAGGGCCTTAAGGAAGTACAATATCCAATACTAGCAGAACAAAACGTGATAACTAAGGTCTTCTTCAAATCTGACCTCTTTTATATCGTTTACAGCTTAAAAAACAAAGCGTACTTAGAGTGTCGGTAGCAAAATGCTAACACTTAATTTCTTTCCAATAATATGTCGCTGAGTGCCTCAATTTTTACAGTTTTTTTTGTAATAGTCAGTTGTCGCATCCGCGACAACCCATTAATTAAAGCTTACTAGTTTCTGCAAAATTACAGTAACTTAACTAAGTAACACTGTTAAGTATAGCTGCATGATAAGTAATTAATCTGAGATACAGTGGTGATCGAACCTAATGCAGCTCTGCAACTAAAATTACGATAACGGAACTTTATAATTCTCTTTCACTAATGTAGATATTACAAAGCTATGCATTTACTTGTGGATACATCTAATGTTTCATTCGTGCGCACATGGCTTTGTAGTCGTTGTTCGCTGTTGCCTGTCCTTTTTGAAGTCTAAAAGCCTTCAACGGAGAATATGTCTAAAATAAAGTAATTCATTAATTCTTTTATTGGCGCTGTTATGGGTAAGAGCGTCCACCTTCAAAAACACTTTTTTTGGTTAGTAACTTCACTTAATTTTTTATACACAGGCTCATCGATACCGCGTACAGCAGTTTCAGACTTGTTTATTTTGTTCTTGCTAGCTTCCTAACGATCTAATGCTCAACTGTCACTGTGATCTTTCTGCCGCTTCATAAGGCTGCGATCCTGCCAGCAACGTGTTGGTTAGTGAGCCTGTTTCGCAACCGCGTGCAGACGTATCTGGACGGTACAAATCCACAGTCGAGCGATTTCTCTGCTCTAAGTTCTCACATTTCTCGACCGTTTAATAACCTGCCCGAGAAACCTATTTAAACCATGATGTTTTCGTTGTGTGCACAGAACCCAACAAGTAGAGCTGGGTGAGTTCATTTTTTTGAGGTGTCAAAGTTGTTTTTACCATTTTATAAACATTCCTAGCGGCTTCCGAAACCAAAAAAGTAGTCAAAACATGGAAAAGATAATCGTAAGAAAAAATTTAAACAAAAATGAAGATAAGTGACAGCAGATCATGAGAGATCAGTATGGTTGAAACAAGGTTATAACGAACAGGAAGTAGTTGAAACGGAGATATGACACAAGTGTAACTGCTGATATTCTACAGCTCAATTTTTTTTTCTTTTTGTGTTACATGGGGAAGCAGTTAGAAAGGTTTATGAAATGGTAGAAACAGAAATTTGTAGAACTCAAACTCATTTAGTGCCATCCATCGAGTTCTATGTTCATAGCTAAAATTCTGTGATTAAATGGGTATTTTTGGCAGACCAGAAAACAATTGGAAAACGTAACTAAAGGAGTTGCATGCAGCTGCGAATATGAACT